ATTCCATCAGGGCGTGCCATCATGCATTGTCATTACCCGGCAAACTCCGGGGGCCTTCACCTCGCCCGCGCCAAATCCCAGCGCAAAATAACCAAATTTAATAATAGCGTGAAAAAGCGTTCACCTCTTTCATATGCAATCAGAGTGGCAGAGAGACACAGACCGACGGACTAGCGGATCTGCAAAAAAAGTATACTAAATTCTGAATAATGATGGCCACGCGGAACTGAACTGGAACTCGAACTCAGAAACTGGAGCTCAAAAAAAAAAAACCAAACCCAAATCCAAAAGCCCAGATCCCAGCTCCGGTGGCTCTCTACGCTTTCTGATTACGCCAAGTAATGGTGGGAGTGGGAATGGAAGTGGGAATCGGAATGGAAATGGAGATGGAAATGGGGCTTGGAGGTGGGAAAGGAAGTGGGTGAAATTTCGCCAGCTGAATGCTGAAATGCAAATCGTATTTTGGGGCTTAACATTTGATGGGTTTTTAATATGTGAGCATGAGCAAAAAAAAAAATGTTACGCTTCAAATTGTAGCAAGAAAAAATTCCCTAAAGATGGTTTATTCAAAAGGATAATGATACAAATGGATAAATAATTATAAGATTATGGGAAATATTTTTTTTTATATAATTCATAAACAAAGAAATTGCTTGGGCAAGCTTAAAATATTCAATTATCAAGATTGAACATTTAATTAAGCCAGAAAACCACTTTTGTGAGGCTTTAAAAATCTAAATAAAATTAAAATGTAAATAAATTTTAATAAATTAACTTAAATTAGTCAAATAAGTCAGGGTCAGAGTTCTTTAATTATATGAATTATATTTAATTAAAGTCTTAACACCCAAAAATCACATAAAATCCACTAAGCAGAAAAGAAAAATCACAACTTCTCTGACAATAAGAAATCCCCCCATTAAACCCACAGAAATCTTCAAAAATAAATAAATAATCACAAGTAATTGTTAAGAAATATGAAATCAATTCATTAGATTTATTCATAATCATTCATGAATACAGCTTTGACTTAATGGGATTCGAATAAATACGACCTCAAATAATTCCCCCTCCTCAACTTGGAAATTACAGAAAATTTGTCAGCTAATCCAAATGTGGGATTGACTTCTGACTGAACCAAAAAAAAAACTCCTTGACTCCTTGAGTCCTCGAGTCCTCGAGTCCTTCTTGGCCACAAAACGGATGCTGGCTGGCTAATAAGGAGATTCCCCTGGCTGTCTGTCTATGAATCATGCGCAGCTATGACATTTATGGCCTCAATTTATTTGATAAATTTCACACGCACGTTATCAATTGGCTCGACAGTGGCTCCCCTTGGTGGTGGCAATAAATTTTGACGGATTAGTTCGCTTATGAGTGGCATCGTGGTAGCCAAAAAAAAAAAAAAAAAAAAAGGAAGGACTGAAAGGACTGGCAGGACGCAGGACAAAGTCGCTATCCAAACAGACGGACAGCCAGGCGAAACTATATTCGGCATTGGGATAAACTGTAATAATGGCCATTATTATTTATTTTTATTTTCCTCCAACCCCCGCCGCACACTCCACGGGGGTTGGCGTATCAATTTTCATAAAATATCGATGCCTGGTTATTGATAACCATAGCCAAAGTCATTTTATACACAGATATAGATATATATATATTCCTGTGGAAAAGCCCTGCTTTCCGGCAATTGATAAATTTCCACATTTCAAGCCTGCTCAAGCCGTGCATTTGTCAAAAAAATAGAACTCATTGGGGCGGCGCTCCTGATTTCCCATTTCCCATTTTGTATTTCCCCAGATGTGAATAATACCGGGAGAAGTCATCTATGATGCGATGATGATTCAGGCACAAATGAGATGGCCATAAAGATTATATAAAACTTGGGGGGTGTTGGCTTAAAGAAAACCCAACAATAATTTGCATCGATTTGCATTTTCCCCGAAAACTCATTCAGCTGGAAAATAAAATCACCAAAAGATAGATTAACTCGACTTCATATTCGAGGCCTTTATACTTGATTAAATTAAGTGCAGATTATATTTCATGAATATATATATATATATATTGTTCTTTGTGGTTATTTGCTATTTAATAATTGCTCCATTCGAGACACTCTGATTAATTAATAAGTTGAACAGATTGAGAACGGTTTATGGCTCCAGCTTTCTGGCTACCTACATAATTTAAAGCTAATTAATTTTCCCGGCGCAGCTCATTCGAAATACATCAATCAAACCCGAGTCGGGGGGCTAATTGCATTTACCTGATGACGGTTTTCATTCTGCCACCGCCCCCATTTTCAGTCTTTCCCCCCTCAACCACCCCGTCAATTGGTGACAAATTATTCACGCTGTCATGTGGAACACTACTCCTCCTCTGTGTGTGCTTTGCATTGGTTTTTGGATTTGGTTTTTGGTTATTTTTGGTTGGGGGAAATCGGTTTTCCCCTCTCTCAAAATGAATAAATAGAGGTGAAAGAAAGCGCTGATTAGGTATTATAATTAGTGGTTTGTTTGTTTAATATTTCCCATTAACTTGAATGTGAGCAATTACCGAAAACAATCTGGAAATTAAACTCTTTGTTGGATCTTATTTTATGGGTAAATTGGTGATTTGATGTAGTGTTTTTGTGTAGAGAAGAGATTTATATATAAATGGTTCGAATTTATATTTATTAGATTAGATTTTTGTATAAAAGGTTCCTATTTGTATAGATAACTCATATAGAATAGGAATCATAGTATTTCAAGGCTTTAAAAGCAATGCTCAATTTGTTTTTAGTTCATTTCTTTCAGTTTAAATATTTTCTCATTAGAAACCAACACATTTTCTAGCTCTTCCTTGAGCTTTATATTTCCTACGACCTTTAATATAAGTCCCACCCATAACCACACCTCAAAAACTTGTCTTGTTTACACTTAATGGAGCTATACCACACGATATCCAATTATGAATCTCAATGTGTCGGACTCTGTTGACCCAAAAAACTAGAAGCAGAGTGTAAACCAAAAGCCATCGAGATGGGTTCTGATAAGATCCCCGAACGTGTTCGTCTAGCCCCTCGATATGAGAATGATGTCGGGCCAAAAAAAAAAAATCAGATGGCTAATCCTCGAAATTAATTACCTACGCTGCACCTTTAGCCCCACCGAGAGTTCATTCAGAGTTTTCCTACGAAATTAAGCGAAGAAGAAAATTTTCGATCCTTGATTCAAGATATGAGAGAGTCTTTCCCTCAAGAAACCAGACATCAGCAGACTTATGCCCGTGCACGTTCCAGGGCGAGCGCATCAAGATATAAGATACGTAGAGCATTGAAGGCGGAGGGCCACTTGACGCTTCCTTTGTGGGTACACTGTGCGGGGTCTCAGTGAAAAATAAATAATTGCTATTTTTCTATATTTTTAACTACCATTCTTTATATTTTTTGGGCTAGTAAGCTCCTTCTTATTTTCATCAGTGTATCTCCTCCCTGGACTTGGGGGTTTATGGATGACCCAGCCATCGTCAACATCATCGTCATGTAAATTTTTGAAATATAATTGGCCTAATATTTTAGCCTGTCTCTGTCCTAAAGCCAGACACGTACACACACCGAGTGTGTGCTGTGGTGTGGGTCCACTCCTCATGGTTATTTGGCCCAAAACTCCACTCGTACTCGCGTACTCATGCTGCAGGCCATGATTTTTATCAGTTTACCTTAGTTTGTGTTTGGCTAACGCACCCAATTTTCCACGGAATATGGGTGTAGCCCGTTTCCAAGTTGCCTAATGTGGCGGCCCCTTCGACCGAGGCTAACAAAACTAACAAAAAATACAGCAAACAGAAACGACACAATCCGTGCATTAGCCAAACTCCAACTCGAAACCCAACTCTATGCCATTTGTTTGCTGAACTTTTGATATTTTCCAGCCAGCTCTAAGAGTTTTTTTTGTGTTGGCCCGATCAGCTCTATGAACCTTGGCATTTCCCTCCTTTGCCGGTGGAGGCACTGTGGCAGGTGCTGCTGGCCGGACTGGAAGGAGTGTGTGCTGGAACGAGATCGTGGCCTGGGAATATTTCAACTGCCACTCCGCAGAAAACCCATGAAAAACTAAGAACAAATAGAAGTTGAACGATGCAGAATCATAAAGTTATTAGTATTTAAATTACACAATATTATTATGTCTAGAATAATACAAAAAAAATATTTATTAATGCAGAATTAATATATATTAATTCTGTGATAAAGAATAACTATATTAACAGAATCGGATAGATCGAACGAATTTCGGTGGTAATTTTATTAAAATCGGACGACTATATATATATATATATCTGTCATAAAATCGATCATTAACTAAAGAGAAATCTGTAATACGCTCCCTTTCTCTCTCTCTCGGCAGGTCTGTCTGAGGTGCCTCTCTCTCTAACTCTCTCTGCCTTTCTCTAGAGGAATGCATTTCACTCTCGCTCTCCCACACTCTCTATTTTCTTGGCTCGGGGACTATAAATAGAGGCGCTGCAGTCGGCGCCGCCCCTTAGTCAGTGCGCGACCCCCCACCTGTTAACATCGAAGAGTGATAGTGGCAGTGATAGTGATATGTCACCTAAACAATGTCCTTATTGCCATACATACTTGTATTTTTATATGATACAAAACAACGTATACTCAAAGCTAATAGCCTTAACTTAATTATAACTTATTCACTAATATTGATTTCTTAAAACTGATTTTGACTTTGGTACCAACTTTTTCTACATTATTAAACCCTTTCAAGGTTTTATAATTTCAGTCAGATGCTTCCGTATCCCAAAGTTACTTGTCTTTCTTGTTGACATTGATATGGAAAATTATATTAAATAACTTGGTAAAATAAAGCAGAGGTTTTCGTAAATATACAATTATTTTTAGTAACAGTTTCGGAATATGTTGCTTGTTTATAAATATGTATATATTCCCTGTACCTTTCTAGTTTACAAATGATAAACAAAATAGCCTTTGTTCTTTACTTCAAAAAACCTAAACAGTGTTCCAATCAAAATCAATCAAAAGCAGACACAAGCATTATTTCTGTAAAACGTAAATATATTATTAATATTTTTGTTTCCGTTGACCTCTGACTTTGACAAGATGTCCAAGTCAGCACGGGGTTCCAGGCCAAAGATGGCTTCTGGTAGCTCTCCTTCCGCTTCCTCAATTTCCGGTGGGAAACCAAATCAAGGCCTGGAGGCCATGTTGCATGTCACACACGTGCAGACCAACTATGAGGCTGAAGCTGAGTTCTATTACTACAAAAGTGATAGGGAGAAGTCGGAGGCTGATGTACCAATGGAGGTCAAGACTCCAGATTTGGAGGAAGTGGTGCCACTAGATCCGCCATTTGTGGCATTGGTCAGCAATCTGCCAATGGAGTGCAACGAGCGAGAGCTAGTTCAGGTGTTTTCAAACTTTTCAATTCATACTTTGACTGTTCCGAAGAAGGGTAAGCGTCCCAAGGGATTTGCTTATGTGGAGTTGAACTCCCGGGAAGAGTTGATACGTTTGCTTCAGTTGAAAAAACTCAAGTGTCGCGGTCGCTTGCTTTCAATTAAATTGTGTCCAGATCCGGAAAGGATTCCAAGTGGAGGAATGAAAATAGGAGACAAGGGAATGGGAGGAAGGTTGGAAGAAATGGGATTCGGAGGATTACCAGATTTTGGAGTAGGAACAGGACTATACAAAGGAGAATTCGGAGCTGGTGGCGATGCCCCCTTTACTCCCTTGTCAAACAGTGATTATGAAGTCAGTTCCAGCCATTATGCAGCCAGTGTGAGTGACCTTAGTGTCTCAGAAACTCCATCTAGTCCAGGAGGATCACCCCGAATGGGCAGTGAGTCATCTATTTATCACTCTGAGATGCCCATCAGCCGACAGCCAAGTAGTATAGATGAACTTGAACGCCGCATGGATATGAGATTGAAAAAATTGGCAGAGTTTGAGAATGCTCAGTCGGAGCAGAACTCTCAATTGGATGAGGATCACGAGGATATACTTAGCAGGTCCTGGAGCGATATACTCATCGAGGCCATAAAAAGCGAGGAATTGTAGTTATGTTTTTCACAAACAATTTATTTCCGTTTTACGGATTTTATGTATCCAAAATTTTGATTAAAATCATACAGGATATCTTTATGGTTTATTAAAGCAAATTAAGCTTTTTAAAATTCAAATATTTATGGTATTTCTTTAAGGCATGAATCATATATTTTATATTTTGAAAAGATTCTATTTAAAAGGAAAGTATTTGGCATAAAAGTTATAACAAATTCATGAGGAACTTTTTAAAGTGTTGGAGATGCTCGGGCCTTAATTTTAAAGTGCCTTTTATATCTTTATATTATTAAATTAAAGAAAATGATATACTAGTATATGCCGCAATTGTTTAACAGAAGAATGACTCTGAAAGCTAATTAAAGAAACTCAAATGATGTTAATGAGCAGTCAAAGCTTTGGACGCTTGGCAACAGCTGCAGTGGTTTCCAAAACCAAAAGCCGAAAAATAAACCGAAATTAAGAAAAAACAATTTATCAACAATATTGACTAAAAGCTGTCAACTGAATTAATTTAAACTGATTTATTAATGTGGCGACAGTTGGGCGGTCGATCGGGTCTCTGACGTCCAACAAAGATGATGATGATGGTGATGGTGACTCCGATTGCGACCCAACCCCGCTTCTCCTATAGACAAAGAGCCCAAAAACAATCCGGTAAGCATACGCTAATTGACCAACTAATTAGCGCATTTAATGGTCAGCATATATATACATATACATATATATATCTATAGAGAGAGACACTTAGTGTGTATGGATGAAACACGGTCATCGAAACAAGAAAGACAGACTTGCTAATGAAATTAACGTAGCGTGGTTAATAGTTTTGCCAAATTTGGAAAATTATTTTCATCAAATCGTTACCAGTTTTGCTCTTAGCATCATCCCCTCCCCCTTTCCATTATCTTTATTATTTTATTTCTTTGTTAATTCCCTTTGCAGTTCATGAGTCCGGCCCCTTGAAACACGATTTTTGCCAGCGGAAAATTACTCATAGAAAATGCTTAGACACTTTGGCTATTTCTTAAAACAATAAAATACATTGATTAAGGGAAATGATGGAAAATTCGGAGCTTGTAAATAAGTGGGTTGATATTAACATGGGAAAAGTTTTTGATTAGCCAAGATATGGTTGAGTTTTAAGGGGGTTTTAGGGTCTTGTCTTTTGAAAATAAAGTGTTAATTAAATTAATGGTTACTTTAAGGAAATTCTTATAAAATATTTTACTTTCCTTTAAATACTAAGTAAGCAATAATGAAAATGGTTAATTGGCTTTAAAGTTAAATGGTTTGAAGAAGTTTTTATTAATTTATTGAGATATTTATCTCAAACATAAGAATTTCTAAACAGATTGCCCATAAAAACTTATTTAAAATAACCAATAAAGCTTCTTGTTTAAGAATTAATTATACTTTGCATTCCTTATCCTACATAATACTCAAATATATATATAATTCCGCATTTTGTCCTTTTTGTTGCTTCAATTTATCGACTAATTGCTTGGGGCCGCTTCAATTAGACTTTGGCTTGGTTCTTCTAACAATTCTGGCCGGTTGCACATAAAATGTCTGTCGATGGGTTTCGTTTTTTTCCCCTCCTATCCATCCATTCTTTCCGCTAGCATTTCCCAACTACCATTTTCCATTTCCCATCTCCCATCTCCCGGCACTCGTTTCACCACTCGACCTCTGTCTCTTCTCATTAACTCAACGGTGCGGACAGCCCTCTCGAATTTGGTCAGAATCGTGGCCAGATCCGCATTGCCACTGTCAGGCTACGCTTGTACATGGGGAGAAAATATTTTTTATAAATTTAAATCCATACTTGACAGGTATATCTATCTTGGATAAAAAATATATATACATTATAAAGCATTACAATTGTTTCAAACTTATCTGAAGTTAGCAAATTATTTCCATTACTTCTGAAAGTTCTTTTCCAACTCCCAATTTGTTTCTCCCTGTGTTTGCATTCAAGTCCCAGGCCAGAAGCCAGGAGCCACGTCCGGAATGCGGAATGTTCTGGCCATTGCCGTTGCCAATTTCCGGAAAATGGCAATGGGCATCAGCAGCAGCAGCAGCAGCAGTAGCACTGGCACGGCGTCGGCCGTTGGGCGTAAATTAAAATTAAATTCAAATGGAAAAGTGTCGTCGCCGCGACCTGGACTCTGCTGCAGGAGCAGAAGCAGGAGTAGGAGTCCTAGCCAGAGTCAGAGTCAGAGTCAGAGTCCTGGCCATTGGCCATTGGCACGTCTGTCGGTTTATGCAACATTTTAGCAATTATATTCGCGTCGAGCGACATTACAACGGCAATTACACGCAGGGAGCCGCAGAACATGCCCCGTGGGCGAATGAATGACTATGATGGGGGGGGGGGGGGGGGGGGAAGGCGGAAGGCTAGCTCCCTCCTCCGTCTGTCACTTTGGCATTCCGGCATCCCTGTCATCGTCACGTGGAGCGGCAACGTGATCAACTGACGCACAGCCCTGATGGACGACAGTTGCCGCCGCAATGGGGCCCCTCCTGTCAGTGGCAGGCTGGATGGAATGGCTGCTGGCTCCACCGGCTGGTTGACTGACTCCGATGACAGGACACGAAGTGCAAGGCAACAGGAAACAAACAAAAAAAAAAAAAAACATAATAATGTTCATGTAATAACATAAACGACAACAAAAAGATGTCCTTTTTGTGATGCGGAAGAAAAAACTAGCTGGATTTGAAGGGTATTATTTAATTGTACTTAAAACGAAAGGAGTATTATTTATAGCCTTAGGTTTTTGCTATCAATTTAATTACTTAAATCAAGGGAGTCAAGTCTTAATCTGTTCCTGTTTTTGTTCTATTATTTTAACAAATAATTTCTATATTTATATAAAAATAGTAGAGCATACAATTTAGGGCTCTTTTGAAATTTATAATATTCTCTTGCCTTTGTGGGTGTTGCTTTTGCTTGGTTTGGGTAAATGAAATAAAATAAATGTATGAAAGCAATAACCGACCGACATTACATAAAAATCTACTTGGCCAGGACACATAATTTGTGTGTGTGCGACGTGGGCCTATTTAGACGGTTGTATGTGTGTGTGTGTATTTGTGTGCGATGTGTGCGGAATATGGCCGACACTTCCGTTCGACATGTTGCACATGTTGCTCCCGTTTCCGCTACGCCCAACTCAGCGCAATTCGGGCACAACTCACCTCGTCTAGCCCACCTCCAAAAGCACTTGGAGAAAATAAAAGGGATTATGTTGGGGATTATATTAAATAAATAAAAATAATAATATATTAAACAAATAAATAAAGAAAGTTTTAATTAAAAGAAGGTTAAAAGTGATAGAAGATATTTACAATTATAACTGAATCAGAGTCTTCATAAATAAATAAATAAAGATGAAAAGAAAGATGTTTGTTGGTAAATAAATATAAACTTGATACATTCATTTTATTAATTTGTATTAAGAAATCAGTTACAATGTATGAAATTAATAAATTTTAAAAACATATAAACAATGTAAAGACCCTAGAAAGATGTAGATAAAAGTATGAATTCATAAACATATAAACATACCCTTTAAATAAATTAAACTAAGTTCCAGAGACTTCTCTCAGTGCAACAACCAACATAAAATACAATATACAAGGACCACCCTGTATACATATACATACATATCCATATATATATATTTATATATGTTTATATATATATATTATTGTTGTTGTCGCTTGTGATGTTCCTGTAGTTGTTATTGTTGGTCACGCATGGTGTTCCTGTCGCTTGCTGTTTTTATTGCCCGAGCTTCCTGCCGTTCGCTTGTTTCATAATTAATATCCTTTCACACATTATTATAACGGAAATGAGTGGGGATATTTTTATTTTATTTATACACACACACACACTCACATATACATTCCATGTCACGTAGCATACTCTGTGCATGTGTACGTGTGTCCTGCGGTTGGGCAGCCCAGGAGCTTGTTAAGCATTTTATGCGTTTGGTTTTTCATAAATTTCATTCCGACACAAACCCAAACAAGGAGTGTGTAATTAAAAGCTCATGAAAAGTGATTAAAAAGTGAGTTGCGGCCACGCTCGGTGCCATATATTAAATGCTGTCGCCTCCCTCTGCCCCATAAAGTTGTCAAAACAATGCCAAAACAAAAACAAAAAAAGGGAAGCCTTCCACAAAAAAAAAAACCAAAAAAAAAGAACAAAAAAACGAGTAAGGGAAAAATGAAATATTAAATTTTGCAAACCAGCTGATGCTGAGGTCATCTGGGAGCCCAGTTAAGCTTTAAGTTTTTGAGTATAAATTAAAATTAGAGAAAATCGAGAACATCTGTGGCCAGGCGGCAGATCGAACTAATCAAGAAAACTCAATGCCATCTGGCAGAATCATTTATTCGGTTTTCTCATGGATATCAAACTGGTTTTCCCCAATTTCCGTCAATCAAGAAAACAAGCAAACGTATTTTAACACGAATTTGGGCTTTAACAAATGACCACCAATCTAACTAACAGGTTTGAAATACAATTTGGATTTACAAGGGCGGTTGACTCTTATCGAAAGACCGAAGGGCTAAAGGGTACAGTTAAAAAATATCTGTATAGAAGGTTTGAAGGGAATTTGTTTATATTTTCATATGAAATTTAAAAAATTACAGATCAAATTCAAGTTTGTACATACAACTGCAATTTAGATTGATATTTGAAAAATAATTAAAGACTTATGAAGTTTGAACATTATAATTACTTAAGAATTTCGGGTTTAGTTTTAATTAAATCGAACGACTATAGTTTTGATACTATATTTACAATAAGAGTAATATATATATATATAGTCAGTTACTTATATAACTATCTTATTGTAAATATAGTTTCAAAACTGATTTTGGCTTTGGCCCCAACACAGTTTTGGCTTCCCTTAGCTAGTTTCCTTTCTTGTTATATCTATTTTCTCCCAGTGCCTGGACATTCCCCATCTATATCCTGTTAACTTGACCAGTTCAAGTGATTGATCTCCTGGCCTTTTCATTTACCGCAACCGCAACATCAACATTTCGTAGAGTATTTCCCCCATCCAAGAGTTCCAAGGGGCTGACTCATAGACCTACTATA